AGCTGACGAACAACGATCAAAAGTCTCTTCCTCCAACCGGAATGGTCATTCTCGGCATCCTCACGCTACAAAGTTTGCAACTTTTTAGTATCTGAATTACTATAGTAGAAGATTGGCCATTCTTTTTGTTCTACTGCTTGTTCTTCAACTGCGGCCAATCAGCCTTGTAGTGTCTAAGTTTGCCATAATGATGACAACTCTATTTATAATTCTTCACAAAGAACTTCTACTTCTTGGACCCCTTTGCATCCGAAGTAGTCACCACCAACTTCAACTTGTGATGGTTGTTCCCATCCTTGTGTCCACGACGATCATCACGACGATTCTCAATAGAAGGACTCCACGAATGCTTGTGAGACTTGTGCTTGTTATTGTCAAGTTGACAAGCCGCATAAAAGAGTTCTTCCAAACTCTTTGTAGACTGAGAATGACGCAAGTGTTGCCACATACTTTCACTATGTAGGCCATCAATGACGTAGGACTTATTCTGATCTGGATCCTTCGTTGAAACACGACTAATCAAGTGAGTAAGCTTCTCAATATAGTCCCCGAGCGTCATTTTCCCTTGCTGGAAATGTCGAAGTTCTATACGAGCATTCTCCACATTGTAATGAGGGGCAAAACATAAACAGAAAGCAGCCTCAAACTCATCCATGGTAGACATTGGTGGTTTCTTATCTGCAATATGAGACTCCTCAAGCCAATGCCACCATTGAAGACCTATATCACGCAAAACCATTGAAATAGCCACTAAAGCCTCTACATCTAAAATTCCCCTAGTAGCTAAGAACTTCTTCACATTGGCTAACCAAGCAAAACACTCTTCCACACCACCATCACCAAAAAAGGTTGAAATCTTGAGTTGATCTACCAAAGAAGGCTTACTTGGAGCGCTACTCCGTCCAGCCTCAAGTGCCTCAACACGCCCATGTATGGTATCCATCATGCCATGCATCTCATCTTGCATCTCTTGCTAATTTCGATTAAGGGCTTGCAACTCATGAACCACATCTTGAATGGTCTAAATCTTTGCAACTTCATTGGCACCATCGTTGGCACCACCATCGACAATAGGATTCTAGCATTCAGCTTGGTCGGCCATTGATCAAGTGCAAAAAGACAAAGATCTAGCCACCCTAGACTATGCTACACCACTCGTGAGGTTCCTCACCACTCAACCACCCCCGAGCTACCTCAAAAGCTCCACTGCTCCGCCGCTCTACTGTGAGCCCTAGGGTAGGGTTGAGTCCCTTACCCTAATATGCCTTAATATACCCTTGAGCCTCCCTTTGACCGATGTTGACCATGTGGTCAAAGCTGGCGTCTAACAATAGATGTTGCAGCAGCACTACAAAGTCAAAGCTACCCGTGTCTTCGCTCACAAGACTGAATCAGCCGAGCAAGCCAACAATCTAAAGCTTCATAGAAGAGCTTGCTCAACACATCAAGGGAGGAGGTAAGCAGCCAATTGACAAGTTGATGTAGCCAATAAAAGATGAGAAAACAACAAAATACCACATACAATTCTTGAGCTACCTCAAGACAATCACCAAGAAAGTGGATGGAGTCTTAGGCAAGCAAAATCATCAGCACCACATAATCCAAGAACTCAAGAGTACAATCCTGACTTATACATCCATCGATGCAAAACACATCAACCACTAGGACCAGTGCATTGACTTAACCTACCCTAGGGCTCATAGTGGAACGGCGGCACAATGGAGCTTTTGAGGTAGTTCGGGGGTGGTTGGGTGGTAAGGAATCTCAAGAGGTGGCGTAGCATAGTCTAGGGCAACTAGATCTTTGTCTTTTTGCACCGGATCATAACAAGGATATAGGGAGAAGGCTAGAGGCCCAACTTCCCCTGAGCAAGAAATCAACCTCATTGGGAAGATTTAGACAACTATTATAAATTGGCAGATTAAGTTAATTAGATGACCATGCCCTTTTCAAAAATGAGTTATCAAGAGAGAGGCAAGGACTTGTGATCAGTCTATAATAATTATCCCTATGGTTATGGATTAAACCCATGCACTGAAGTGCTGAAGTCAACCTGCCAAAATTGACCCAAATACTAACGAATGAGAAAAATAAAACTTTTGATTGATAGAAATATATTACTTTATTACTTTGCAAGATTTATAAAAGCTAATCTTTATTATGATTCTCATACTCTGTGACAAGCTCATGAGCATGTGTAAGATTCCGAAGATGTTCCCAAGTTGATTCACAAGTTGAGTAACCTTTCCACTGAACTAGATATTCCTTCGCACGAGCCCGTCTCCAAAACCAAGAATCCAAGATAGACTCAGCTTTATACTCATGTTCACCATCAATGATCACTGGCAGAGGATGAATGTCCATAGAGCATTCCACAACAGCATGATATGGTGCTAGTAAATTAACATGAAACATATCATGTATCTGAGATAATTCATCCAAAAGATCCAGCTTATAAAATACATCATCAACTCGCTTCAATACGGAACCGAGTTCGAGACCAAGTTCGAGACGGAGTCCGAGATCTGAAATCGGGTCCAAGACCGAGTCCGAGGTCGAGTCCGAGGTCGGGTCCGAGATCGGGTCCGAGATCGAGTCCGTGATCGAGTCCGAACCCGAATCCGAAGTCGGATCCGAAATACGGGTTCTACATATCTCGGTAACAACTTCCGAAATAAAAATCCCTTAATGTTCAAGTTCCAAGAAGATAGCCACACTTGATCTCCCACTTGATAGAATACATCCCGATAATGCTGATCCTTATCACGTCGATACCTATCCGGAACTTTGCCCATCACCTCAGTAGCTCTAGTCCAACTTTGGACAATCTTGATCGATTCCTATCGTTTTTCTCCAGCGATTCCAGCACTAGGTACTACGAGGCAATGCACGATCTGGGAAGAAAGCTGCTGAGATACGTCTCTAGAGGATTAGGCCTGGAATCCAACCGGATCAAGCAATCCCTAGAGGAACTCCATCACTCGATGCTGATGAATCGTTATCTTTCATGCCCACAGCCCAAGCTCGTGTTAGCGCTGCGCTCACACACAGACCCAAATGTCATCTCCCTATTGGTCGACAATGGAGTGCCTGGATTGCAAGTGCTCAAGGACGGCACATGGATCACCGTCCATTCTTTACCCGGTGCAATCGTCATTAACATGGGAGACCAACTCGAGGTAAAACGTAGATTTTGGTTTCTTACTTTCTACGTATTTGCACCCCAGATTATAAGCAATGGTAAATACAAGAGTGCCGAGCATCGTGCGTCGGCCAATTCTGATTCCACCAGATATTCCATTGCAAGCCACAGCCGGCTGGACCGTTGATCACGCCCTTCCCCGAGCTTGTCAATCCCCAGGATGAGTCGCAGTTTCAAGCCGTGTGCTACCGGGATTACCTCGCCATCTTTTTCGCCATGCAGGCGAGTGGTAAATCTGTCATCACCCAGGTAAAGAAGTAAAAAATATGTAGCCCTATCAGTTGTTTAAAAGACCTTCATTGACTTTCCATTTGTTGACTTTGCCGGTGCCTCGGTTCTCAGTCTCTCAGCTCTCACCAGGAATGTATATACAGCTGCGTATATACACCTTATTTTTTTTTCTCCTCCTGGTTTCCTTGGCTTGCGCACTTTGCATTTTCCCACCAAGCCATTCATGCGCTTTGAGCACCTCTTCTGACTCTTCTGCTCAAGCTTCCTCATTCCTTTGGTGGAACGCACCGAAAGCTTGACGAGGAAAAGCACCAGACCTCGGGGTATCATACGCTATCTCCTCTTTGCCCTTTCTTACTTCCTTCGCTCAGGCCTTACAGCCTTTGAGTGGTGCTAGTTCACTACATCCTCGAGAACCTGGGGACGGATTTTGAGCAATCTCACGTCAAGCCTGCGTTGGAGGATGCCTTTAGAAGGTGTGTTTTATTTTATCTCATATTACCGATCAGGGTGGACGGTGAAGTGAGTGCGCTAAGACTAGAAGCGTTCCAGCACACGAAGCTCACAGTGTGGGTTCACGATGGATGGATTTACACTGGTAGTAGTGCCCGAGTTCTACTCTCCAGATCTTTCAAGCCAGTCTACTTGCATTCGTGGGATAAGAGAAACATCATGATAAGACGCTCTATAGTTCCTGAAAGCGAAGAAGAGATTTTGGATTACTTCCATATGGTAATTAGACATGAGCATTCTCAGGATTGATATCCTTCTCTCGTTTTGTTTTTCCAGAAACACGTACAAGAGGATGATGCCTTTGTGGCGATTTCTTCAGATCATATATGGATCTGACACTTAGTGAGTGAGACCCCAAAACCACTCACACAAATTTGTGGACCCCTAGAGAGCAAGCGTACAAACAAAATGATGCACGCAACATTGACGTCACTGGAGATTTCATCACAAAGAACGAACTGGAGGGCGAGTGTGTTTTAGGACCGCAACTAAGCCAGCTCCAAGATTTTGATTCATCTTCCCTGGCTCAAAGTCATTTATCCCACCCTAGTCATCCTCCATAAACTTTTTCCATCTCCATATATTACATGCTATTCACCTCCCACCACATTTATGTTTATCATTTTTTTTGAGATAGGCTTACAGTAGAAATGTCTCCCTTTCTTTGAGGCAAGTCTGAGAGACTTTTGGAGGAGATATATCCATCCTAATGCATTCTCTTGTTTACTAACTTGTTGCATGCAAGTTTTAGGTTGCCAAAGTAGAAAAACCTTTTTCTAATCACTTTGAACACTAAGATTGGCATAACAAAAGAAGGACATGCAATAAAGATAAAAAACAAAAAAAATACTTAAGCATTAAATTCTAGATCTGGCAACAGATCTAGATATAAAAGAATTAATAAACAAAATGCACAATTCCACAAAATGCATTGCTAAAAAACCTTGCCTTTTGAGATAATATATAGTGCCCTTTACAAATCTGAATGCTCAATAGGTTTATTAATTGGGGTTTAGACCTCAAATTTTTTTTATAAATTTATGCAAGAAAACATTTATCATTTATTCCTATGTCGTAATTTTGAAAAGCAAATAGGATTGGAACTACTTTGCTCGTCTCAATTGTTTACAATCGAAACACTGAGGCTTTGTGAGCTAAAATGCATTCTAACTACCGAGCCTCTGGAAAATGCCAAGAAAGAAGTGTGATCTTTGAGAGATCTTCGTCAACAAAAGTCAAATTTTAGGATATTCTAAGCGTCTTGCTCCAATATTCTGGCTATGGCGCTGGCTTCCATCGACCTCTACGCGCAAGCCATTCCTGTCCAGGATCTTCTCGCGCAAGGAATCACGAGTGTGCCAGAGGCTTACATACAGCCCCACCCTCCAATCTATGGCTCGCAGCGTGGCAATTCGACTCAGATCCCGGTGATTGACCTGACGCTGCCCGAGGAGGAGATCACCGATACGATCGCGAGGGCGTGCAAGGATTGGGGCTTCTTTCAGGTGATCTCTCACGGCGTGGCGCAGGAGATTGTTGATGGGATGCTCCAGGCGGCCAAGGATTTCTTCGATCTTCCCATGGCAGTGAGGATGAAATATTTCAGCGCCACGCCGGTCCCCAAGACCACCGGCTACTCGGTCAGATTCGACAACTCGAGCGTCGTGGATTGCCGAGATTTCCTCTTCCAGAGCCTTTGCTATCCTCCGTCTAGCGATGCCGTTAAAGAATCGTGCCCGAGCGATCCTCCACACTACCGGTGAGCGCAAATTTTCCGAGAATGCAATCTTGATCGATTCCTATCGTTTTTCTCCAGCGACTCCAGCGCTAGGTACTGCGAGGCGATGCACGATCTGGGAAGAAAGCTGCTGAGATACGTCTCTAGAGGATTAGGCCTGGAATCCAACCAGATCGAGCAATCCCTAGAGGAACTCCATCACTCGATGCTGATGAATCGTTATCTTCCATGCCCACAGCCCGAGCTCGTGCTAGCGCTGCGCTCACACACAGACCCAAATGTCATCTCCCTATTGGTCGACAATGGAGTGCCTGGATTGCAAGTGCTCAAGGACGGCGCATGGATCACCGTCCATTCTTTACCCGGCGCAATCATCGTCAACATGGGAGACCAACTCGAGGTAAAACGTAGATCTTGGTTTCTTACTTCTTACGTATTTGCACCCCAGATTATGAGCAATGGTAAATACAAGAGCGCCGAGCATCGCGCGTTGGCCAATTCTGATTCCACCAGATATTCCATCGCGAGCTTCTTCGAGCCACCGCCGGCTGGACCGTTGATCGCGCCCTTCCCCGAGCTTGTCAATCCCCAGGATGAGTCGCAGTTTCAAGCCGTGTGCTACCGGGATTACCTCGCCATCTTTTTCGCCAAGCAGGCGAGTGGTAAATCTGTCATCACCCAGGTAAAGAAGTAAAAAATATGTAGCCCTGTCTATCTGGATCAGTTGTTTAAAAGACCTTCATTGACTTTCCATTTGTTGACTTTGCTGGTGCCTCGGTTCTCAGTCTCTCAGCTCTCACCATGAATGTATATACAGCTGCGTATATACACCTTTTTTTTCTCCTCCTGCTTTCCTTGGCTTGCGCACTTTGCATTTTCCCACAAGGCCATTCATGCGCTTTGAGCACCTCTTCTGACTCTTCTGCTCAAGCTTCCTCATTCCTTTGGTGGAACGCACCGAAAGCTTGACGAGGAAAAGCACCAGGTATCATACGCTAGCTTGTTCCTACCATCGCCCTATCTCCTCTTTGCCCTTTTTTACTTCCTTCGTTCAGGCGCCGATCATTGGTTCACTACGTCCTCGAGAACCTGGGGACGGATTTTGAGCAATCTCACATCAAGCCGGATGCCTTTAAAAGGTGTGTTTTATCTCATATTTTTCAAGTATTCTCATTACAGCTAGTTCACCGATCCAGTTTTCGACGATACGTGGAATGAATTTGAAGCGTTCCAACACACGAAGTTCAACAGTGTGGTCGTCCTGGTTCACGATGGATAAATTTACACTGCTGGAACTAGGTAGTAGTGCCCGAGTTCTACCCTCCAGATCTTTCAAGCCAGTCTACTTGCATTCGTGGGATCATCAAGTGAAGAGAAACATCATGATAAGACGCTCTATAGTTCCTGAAAGCGAAGAGGAAATTTTGGATTACTTCCATATGGTAATTAGACATAGGCATTCTCAGGATTGATATCCTTCTCTCCTTCTCTCGTTTTGTTTTTCCAGAAACACGTACAAGAGGACGATGCCTTTGTGGCGATTTCTTCAGATCATACATGGAGCTTGCTCAACTCTTTTGATGCGTTTATACCCGTTGTAGAGACCGACATAGACGCTGTGGTAAATTCATCCCAAACTTCGCTTTAGAAACTAAGTTTCTTCCTTCAGGGCTTGGTGACAGCGTGCAAATCAATGCTGGGGCGATACATGGATCGGAGCAAAATTGTTATAGTGATCACGCTCCAGAAAGACGCGCATCTGGCCTTGAAGGATCTGCCAAATGGTCCAAATGGTAAGTTGCATGCTAAGGCATGCATGAATCTTTCCTTCTCTTCCTAGTTCACGAGCATCGAGTGCCTGGATTTTGTTAAGTTCCTGAGAATAACCTTTTGTTTCCAGCTTGATCATCTTCTACTGCAGAGGATACTATAGCCTAAGGCTCATCGTTTGTTCTTTTTTGCTGCTGCTAAATCACTGGATTCCAGTGGAGCAGACTCCCGAGACGCGTTTGGGCTCCTCCAAAATCCATGTGACGAAAGCGCGATCAAAGTTTCAACATCGCTGCGCTATTGAGCTCACCAGATCTAGACCGTGAGGATGAGCGAGGAGGACAAAGAAAGCTTTCCAGCGATCCAACCAGCGAGAGGAGGATAGGGAGATGTAACTTCGAGTGTTCTTCCAAGAGCGCATCTAGGAATCTAATTTTGTCCATATCAATCTCATGTGGTTCCCGAATTATTAGGCACACTCCCACACTTTTGGGAACTCCTAGTCTTCCACGGTCGCCATCACCGACGAGCGAGAATCTCAAAGGAATCTAGACTGGAGAATGGGGGATTTGACAATGTGATCCACGAGCATAGGTAAGTGTGAGTGATCTTACAGAGGATCGATCGATCGAGCAAGGCATCCGAGAGAGATTTGCATCATGTACGTGGTGGAGGACAAAGGGGGCGCCATCGCGCTCATGCTCACGGCGCTCGTCTTCCTGGGGACATGGCCAGCGATCATGAACCTGTTAGAACGAAGAGGGCGATTGCCACAGCACACGTACCTCGACTACTGCATCACCAATTACATTGCTGCCATTGTCATCGCGCTCACGCTCGGCCAGATCGGCGAGAGTTCCACTCAGACTCCCAATTTCCTGGAGCAGCTCAAGCAGGTGATCGCACCACCTTCTTCCTTTTGTTCTTCTTCGTCTGTGATTGCTGATGGGCTTCTTTGGTGGGAGGATCTTCCAGGATAACTGGCCGTCTGTTGGATTCGCCATGGCCGGAGGAATCGTCCTGTGCCTAGGAAACCTCTCCCTCCAGTACGCGCTAGCATACGTTGGTCTGTCGGTAGCCGAAGTTATCTCGTGTAGCATCACTGTCGTCGCTGGTAAGGACAAGTTTTTCCCAACTTTGGAGTGATCGATCTCGTTCCACGATCCTTCACTGTTCTTGAGTGTCCCAGGCACCACCATGAACTACTTTCTCGACGATCGGATCAACCGGGCCGAGATTCTCTTCCCTGGAGTCGCCTGCTTCCTGATCGCTGTCTTTCTCGGCTCGGCGCTGCATTCTTCCAACACCAAAGACAACCGAGCCAAGCTCGCGGCCGCAGAGCTTCTCAACAGCAAGTAAGTCACTGTTCTTCCTCCATGGCTGGATCAATCAACTTCGCTCTTACTTCGCAGTGATGGCTCCGGATCTTCTTACAAAAGGCTGGACGTCGAGATGGCGGCTGTGGAAACCAAGAACCAACCGGAGGAGGAGAACGGCACCTCCAAAACTGTCAAAGCTCAAGCTGGAACTGCCGAGTTCCTCGATCAACTCGAGCACAAGCGAGCGATCAAAGTACGTTGTACTAGTAGCTGCTTGTTCCTGAGCCAGGTTTCTTCTTTTCTGGATGTAGAACACCACCTCCAACACCATCCTGGGCCTGGGAATCATCTTCTTCGCAGGCGCTTGCTTCTCCCTCTTCAGTCCGGCTTTCAACGTTGCCACCAACGATCAGTGGCACACTCTAAAGCCCGGAGTTCCCCGCTTGGTGGTGTACACTGCCTTCTTCTACTTCAGCACATCCTTCTTCGTGCTCGCGCTCTTCCTCAGCCTTGTCCTCCTCTACCGCCCCGCCGTCGGACTGCCAAAGTCCTCCCTCACAGCTTACGTCGCGGATTGGAATGGAAGGCCGTGGGCATTGCTCGCAGGACTCTTGTGTGGCTTTGGAAACGGGCTCCAGTTCATGGGAGGCCAAGCTGCTGGTTACGCTGCTGCCGACGCTGTCCAGGTATGGATCGAAGTTTCTCCTTCGTCTTTGATGGTTTTGTTCTTTCTCCAGGCGATGCCGCTGGTTAGCACCCTGTGGGGTGTGCTCTTTTTTGGCGAGTACATTCGATCGTCGCGAAGAACGTACATGCTGCTGGCAGCCATGCTTACAATGTTTTGCATTGCGGTGGCGGTTCTCATGGCTTCCTCAGGCCACCGAAAGCATTCCTGAGTAAAGTATACGACAGTTAACTATAATCATCTGATAGATCAAAACTAAAGAAAGAAGGGACACACGAATTCAAGCCTTTGAGATCTCAATCAAAACTAAGAAAGAAGAAGAAGAAGAAGAAGAGATGGACTTATAGCAAGAAGAAAAACCCACTACAAAAGCAACTACTGGAAATAACCAATAGATTTTAGGAGATCTACCAAACGATCTAGAGATTCTTACCAGATGCAAAGCAGTGACGAGCAGATAGAACCAATCCATTCTCCATAAAAAGTTTCGCCCGCAAGGTCGTCGAGATTTCCTCGCAGTTGAGGAATTCCGCGTGTCTGTCGATCCAGAACTGAGAGGGAGGAGAGACCACTCACCGCCGCCTGTCGATCCACCAGCGCTGGAGCGTGACGAAGAAATCTTTCTCGCGGAGACGCAATTGCTCGATCGATCGAGGCAACCAAGCCCTGACAGACAGGTGTGAAGAGCTAGAGGTGAAATACAAACCAACGGTCGAGATTACATCTCTTCTCCAGAAAGCAATGCTAAGACCGCGTCGTCGGCATTCTCGCCAGGGATTTCCAGGAGCGCGAGCAAATCCATCGCAATCCATCACTCATCGCACCATTGCTTTTCTTTCCAGAGACTTCCTGTCACTCCTGACCTAAAGTATGGGCGGATCGATCAGCGCGAGCCGGCGCGAGCTCCCCGACGGCGATGTGGTGGAGAAGCGGCTCGTCAAGGCGCTGCAGCAGCGCGCCGCGGCCGCCAAGAGCAGCGTCAAATCCTTCGACGCCATTCTCATGAAATTTTCCAAGATCGACATGGCCTTCGACCAAGTCCGTGACGTTTTCAAGCGATTTGGTACGTTTTTCCCCTTCTTTCTCTCTCGATCGAGCGAGTGCTGGATGGATCCTCGTGGCAGACAAGCACAAGAGAGGGACGATCGACCTCGAGCAGCTCAAGGCGTGTTTTCGAGAGCTCAAGGTTGAATTCACCGAAGAAGAGGTCCAGATGTTCTACGAGGAGGGCGATGTGGATCACAACCGGCGCATCAGTTTCAAGGAATTCATCGTTGTTCTTGCGCTAGCTTATCTCCTGGGCGAGCCTCTCAATTCCGATGGTGTAAGATCCAAATATCATTTTTTTCTCTTTGTTCTTTGCTCTAACCCGAGGTTTCTGTAGAAATCGAGGATTGGATTGCCGGACTTGGAGTGGAGCTTCGAGACGATCGAGGACGCGTTCGTCTTCTTTGACAAGAATGGCGATGGCTACGTCACAAAGGAAGAGATGATCGAGTCCATCCACGAGTCCTCACACGCGACTAATACGCAACAGGATAGCATAGGCGTCGAGAGATTTGGTACGTGAATCCATCAAACTTCCATCACTTCCTTTTCAATCTCTTGCTTCTTCCAGAGGAAATGGATTGGGATAGAGATGGTAGAGTCACATTCAAGGAGTTCCTCCTAGCATTCACTGGCTGGGTTGGGATCGAAGACGATGAAGATCAAGAGGATTAAAACCAAGGTTCCATGAATTTTTTTTTTTCTCAAAGTTCTTCGACTAAAGTTTTGCTTTTTTTCTTTCTTGAATCATAGAATGGAGCAAACAAGAACTATACATAAGTTATCGTCAAGGTATTTCTTTCTAGACCCAACCAATGTTACGTATCATCAAGCTCCTTTTTATTCTAGTTCTAGCTGAGTGGAGCAAGATCCGGAACCATAGCCACAGTAACAACGAAGAACTCACAGCCGATGCCAAGGCCATAAGGATTGTAGCGAGGCCTTGATGCTGCTGCTCCTCCGCCTCCTGGAGGAGGAGCTGCCGATGGTTCTCCAGTACTTGGCGATGGAACGCGCCTGGCAACGTTCCGGTTGATGTGAACAATCTGTCCGACGATGTACTGCTGGCCGCTCGGCAAATTCTCCAGGAACAGCGCGATCGACTCGTCGGACAAGTAGTAATTCGGGCAGTTCCTGTTGAGAGCTTCCCAGTGGCCGGCCGAGTTTGGCATGAACACGGCAAGCTCGTGAACTTCAAAGTGAGTGAAGCAGATCTTTTCCTTCCTCGCCTGTAAAAAGTGTTCGATTGAAAAGAAAGACAAGTTTTAATAGTACCTGTTTCTCCAGCTTGTGCTTTGCATATAAGTTCTTCAGCATTTCAGCTTTGCTCTCGATGTCTTTGTTGAGATGACTCTGCGCTGCTTCCAACGAGCTACAGCGATCCATCATCTGCTGGAGGATCCCCGCAACTCGGTCGGCAAGAATCCTTATCGAGGACTGGAACTCCAGCAAGCACGGGTCCTCCCGGTTCTCACTGCCACCATTCGAAGGGCTGAAAGAAGAAAAAACGTGAGCTTCCACTAGAGAAAAAATGGTGACAAACCTGGACAGAGAATTCGAGAGCGTAGCTAGTGACTCCACGAAGCCAGCAGCTCCGTCCACTGGCGTTGAGATGCAGTTATTCAGTCGTTCCATAAGGCCTCGGAGCCTCACGCTCGACGCTCTTAAGGACGCATACTCGGCCGCTCGGCGCTCGGCGGCACACAGATTAGTTCTTGCTTCTTCCCTGGCTTCGTGTAATCGATTCTCCAAGTGAGCACAGTTCATCTGAAAAGGCAGAGAGAGCTGCTGTTACCTCACGAGAACTGGACAAACGAAAAACAAAATCAATCTATCCATACCTGGCATTCTCGCAAAAGTTCAGCGCTACATTCCACTTCTTCCTGCAGCTGAGCAGTCTTCGCAACGGCGTCTTTAAACTTCTCCTCCACTGCACTGAGCATCCGAGTCTTCTCGCTCAGAACAATTCCCAAGGCAGCTATCTCCTTGTCCTTCTCGCTCGCAGAGTCGCTCTCCTTTTCTCCCTTGTCTACCTCCAGTTTCTTGAGCGTTTCGGTTTCCACGACCATGTTCTCGTCAAGTCCTTCGTCGATCTGATCGCTAGCCTCTGTACACGAACTCCCTAGACGAGCAAGCCTGCTGCTGCCTTCGTCCATCGGCTCAGCACTGCTCAAGTTTCGAACATTCGTCAGCCCAGAGTTCTCAGACAAATCAAGTATTTCTTTCTTGAGCCCACCACCTTCACCGTTTCCGCTCGACGACAGCTTTTCGATCTGCGCGTCCTGTTCTCTCAACCTCTGCTCGAGCTCTCTTATCCGCTTCTCGTAAGCGTTGCATTGCTGCTGCCTCATATCCAGCATTCCATGCAGCTGCTTCGCATGTAAATCTTTGAGCTGCAATGCTTCCGCCGTCTTCCTGGCAGCAATAGTCTCCCGACTGTCACCTCCAGCCTTGCCTTGCTCACTCAGACCCTCCGACTCCTCGGGCTGGAAATCGGGATCCAAGTTGCACAGCATGGAAATAGCCGAAGCAAGCTCCGCCTTTAACCACGTATTTTCCACCTCCAGTTTGCTAGTCCCTGCTATCTCTTCTAGCTCCCCATCATCTGTGCTATCCGGTGCCCCCTCGGCTACTTTGTACAAGGCACCAACTAAAGACTCTGGAGCGTAGCGTTCCAGATCCGCCATATCTATGTCGAGCAGGCCCACGTCGAACGGAGCAATATTTACAATGCACTGGCTGGGAGCGTCGAAGAGTCCCATGGCGGCCAACACGTCCCTCGGGATGTACAAGCTCTGCACCTGGAGAAATTCTTCCCTTCGGGCCATCTCCATCTCCCTCTTCCTTGCAAGCTTCTCAGCCAGTTGCCCCGCCTGTCCCATGTAAAGCTTCATGCAAGCTTTCCTCCTCACAACCTCGGCAAGACACGCCTTGTAAGCGGAGCCAACCTTTCGGACAACCTTGAGCTCCTCGAAGATATCATCCTGTCGAGCCATGGCTTCTTTGAACGCTGAGAGTTGGTTTCTCATGTCTCGGATGCTTGCCTGGAGCGCTGCTACGCTTTGCATCCGCATATGGACCCCCATGCTCATCGCGTTCTTGCTCCTCCTACACGTATCTAAAAGCTTCCACAGTTCTCGATCGCAGGCCTCCATCCTGGGTATGTGGCTCTTATCGTGAACTTCGTACATCGGTCCAAGAGCCGAGACGGCGTCGTGTGGACGAAGTGATGCTGTGTGCTGGCTATTCACGCAGTCGTCAATAAGCTTTCTTACGGTATTTACATCTTTGCTGCAAGAGCAAACACACAAAAAGGTTTAGAGAAGAAAAGAAAAGAGGTTTAAGATAAGACGCACCTAAGTGATTGAATGATGCTAGCCTGCTCCTCCTTGTAATGCAGGTGATTGTCAATTGTCTCCTCGAGCAGCCTCACGTCCACAGTTGAGCCAGTCACCAGCAAATCCTCCACACTCCTCTGGAGGATCACATACTCGTTCTTGAGCTGGGACACCTTGGCGAAGAACTGCTTATGCGACAAGGCACAGTCCTCCGCCCACTTCTTGAGGCTGCTTTCCTTCACACAATCCATCAACGTCTTCCTGCTCTCGGATTTCAATGCTGGATGCAACTTACACAAACGAAGGCGCTCCAAATCTTTGTCGAAGTTGGCCAGCAGCTCCGAGTGCTGCCGGTGCTGCCTCGTAAAGTGTTTCATGAACTCCTGATAGAGCTGGTCGATCATCTTGTAGTAGTGCTCCATGTTGGCTCTGGCCGTCTCCAGCGCCATCTCCTGGACTTGCTGCTCGCGGTGTAAAGTTCTACACGCCTCAAACTTCTTCTGGCTGGAGCTCAAGATCCCACGACCCTTGTCGAGGTGGAACTTAAACTGGCGCTCGTAAGAAGGTAGAGCTCGCAGTGCCGGGTCTCTCGAGTCGTCCAAAGGGTGGCCATTCCCAGCAGTGGAAGACGGCTGTGGAGGGCACGGCGGCTCTCGTAGCGCCTCGGAAAATCTCTCCGCAAACTCTGCCTGTGGAGGGGGACAATCTGGGCTGAGCTTGTGGCGGCTGAAGAGAAACACTGCTCGATCCTGCGATGGCAAGCGATACGACCCAAGAGACCTGTGCGGCTCCAGCCGTGTATCCCCCACAATGAGGAGCTGCTCGTGCTGGAGAACACCCGTGAGCGATACGAGATAGCTCTGGACGTCCTCCACGCTCGTCGATGGCTGGCAATCCAGCTCAAACGAGAGCCCATTCTCCGCCACATGAATCAGCATGCTTGCGAGTGAAGATTACTCTGCCGCGATGGTAATTCTTCCGCTGGAGATGGATTCGAAAGACTGGGAATGCGCCAAAGCCCCTATGGCGATCCTAGGAACCCTAGTCCACGAAAATCCTTTCCTGACCTTGGATTTCGTGAAGGGCTTGGCGCTTCCTCCTCCTCCTCCTCCCTTCTCGCAGCCCTAACCCTGCCGCGCGGAGATGGAGCGCGCGCTGGGCGGCAGGGCGACGACGGCGTCGCTCATTCCTTCCCAATCTTCGTCCCGGCGCGCTCGCTCGCTCGCGGAGGATGGGACGAATCTATCCTCCTTCGATTCACACGGGAAACGCGGGCCATATTAACCTGGCGAATATCCGCCCGAAGATAGGGCAATGTTTTTAAAAGTTCTCGAATATCCTCTTATATCCTTTTCTTCTCAAACGGCTATGGCGGGCTAGGGATTGGCGAGATTGGCGCAAGCGCAGGCGTCGCGCGACCGCGATCACAATTCGCAATTCGCCCGCGAGCTGCTGTCCTCTCTTTTTTGCTGATTTGATGCGCGATCGTGATCCAGGCCTAGGGTTTCCATTAGCGAAAGGGAAAAGTAGCGTAGCCCAGCTAGATGCTGGAGGAACACAGTGCACAAGCGCGCGAGGTTGATGCGATTCAGAGGCTCCAGGCGCGGACAATTTCGTCGGTAATGCGACCTTCTGATAAGCTTTTGCTCGTGCGCTTCGTTGTCTTCTTTCCTTCCTTTATAGCTGGAGGTGTTGCTCGGTTGTATGTTGCCAGGTGAGTGCTTGAATGAGTTCTATCGATTTTTCTTATATATTTCTCTTTGCCTTTTCTGGGTGAGCATGGTGTAGATTATTGTGTGCTCTGGGCTTGCATTTCTTTCAGTACTGCTTTCATCAGTTTTGCCAGAATGCTTAGCTATTCTCTGGGCTTGAGCAGCAAAGTACGCTGCTCTTGCAGGATTTGTTTAGAGCACGGGCCTGAGTGATGAAGTTTTCTTTTTTCGTTTTTTTTCCCCTTCACTTTCCACCAGGCACTCAACGTGGGAAGCGTACACCGTCCACAGAGTCACATTCTCTCGACAAAGGAAGCGACGTCGTGTTTGTGAGGGATACGATCACGGTCCCAGGGAATAACACGAATTTGTGGCTATGAGAGGAAGTTTACGGTCACTTTCTTTTTCTCTTGCTCAACGTGCAAACGGGGAATGGTCCCCTGGTGGGCTGAGTGCTTTTCCTTGATGCTCTTGGGTAGTGGTGGTCATAGCCAAAGTCTTCCATTATTGAGTCTGTTCTAAGCTTGCGTTTTGTCTAGGAGACGTTGAGCACTCAAGGAGATGGCAATATGTGGCAGATACACATCCTTCATAAGTCCACAGCGCAGCCGTCGTCTTCATGTATGTTTTCTTCACCTTTTTCCTAATCCTTTTCTCTAAACTCCTTAATATCTGTTCCTTCACAGGATGGTCCTCACTACTCATCAACAGAACTTTTAGAAATGGCCATCAAGTTTCGAGGTATATAAATTCTTGCCTTTCCAACGTAGACGAAAGCCAGCGACGTGCTTCTTTGCTTTGCTCCTTTCTGCAAACGTTTTTAGCATTCTTTCATGGCTTCCGAGAGTGTGAAGGATCCCAACTTCAAGCATGACTTGGATCTGCAGAAGCAGAATCATGCTATGGAAGTGGATTCACCTTGCTCTCCTCCCACACTGAGAAGCCTCTGCATTCCCAGGACAAGATTCCGGAAGAGGGCTACATTGTGCCAGAAGGTCACTCTATCTTCCTGCTGTTCTTTCTCTGCTGATGCGCTTCCCTTTTGGTTGTATCAGCTCGGTGCAGAAGTCATTGCCACGTTCATCTTGGTATTCGCCGGTGCTGGCGCAGGAATGGTGAACGAACTCACAAACGGCTCGCTGACTTTCTTCGGAGTGGCGGCAGCAAACGGGCTCGTCGTTATGATGATGATTCATGCTACTGGTCATATCTCCGGGGCTCACA